TTTTTTGGGCTCCAAAATCACTGCAGATGGTGATTGCAGCCATGAAATTAAAAGACACTTGTTCCTTGGAAGGAAAAGTATGACCAACCTAGACAGCATATTAAAAAGCAGAGACATTACTTTGCCAACAAAGGTCCGTCTGGTCAAGGCTATGGTTTTTCCAGTGATCATGTATGGATGTGAGAGTTGAACTATAAAGAAAGCTGAGCGCAGAAGAACTGATGTTTTTGAACTGTGGTGTTGGAGAAGACTCTTGAGAGTTTCTTGGACTGCAAGGAGATCCAACCAGTCCATCCAAGACCGATGCTGCAGCTGTAACTCCAATACTTTGGCCACCTCATGCGAAGAGCTGACTCATTGGAAAAGACCCCGATGCTGGGAGGGGTTGGGGGCAGGAGGAGAAGGGGACGACAGAGGATGAGATGGCTGGATGGCATCACCGACTCGATGGACATGAGTTTGGGTAAACTCCGGGAGTTGGTGATGGACAGGGAGGCCTGGTGTGCTGCGATTCATGGGGTTGCAAAGAGCCGGACAAAACTGAGTGACTGAACTGAACTGAACTGATGCTATGGTTAGAATCAGTAAATGCCTAGGGCATAATGGCTAGAATTAAAAAGGTGTGCCAAACAATGGCAATCATTCTATTGAGGTAATGGAATTACTAGGAAACAGTGTTTTGATGCTTATTGACATTGTTACACATGGTTGATGGAATGACTAATCACTGTGTAGCTTTGAATAAAGTTAATCTTCTTAAACAGAAGATATGACCATAGACATCCAGGTGACATGGCATTAGCACTTCTAGTTAAGTGTTAGTTTTTCCAAGCAGGGCACAATTTCACTTCCATTTGCAACCAAGCTATAGGCACCTCACTTAGGATCCAGTATCCTCAGCTCGGCCACATGTCAGGAAATCTTGGCTTCCCAACTATTGCCTGTTCTCCACCCTCAGATGTGGAGACACCTTTAAATTGCTAGTCCTTTTGCAATTTTGATGCCCATTCCGTTATGTTTAGGGAAATTTTCTCAAGGCTACTGAGGCTTGGAAGAAGCAAGGAGTACAGAGCTTTTATATTCACCTTTGAAACACAGCCCATGTACACTGCAAGCCAGCCACTTGTTTAATACAATTATTCTGTCCAGGGCAGAGTATGCAACAAATGCTTATTGTGCCTCTGAAGTTTCAAGGAAATAGAACTTCCTATTATTAAGCTCTTTCTGTAGCCCATGTTCAAAATTCATGCAATATTAGAACTGAAAGAGCATTAGAGGTTATCACTCAATGTGCATTTCACTGCTGTTTTCTAGGACCACTATCAGTCAAGCCTCACCAGCTTAATTCGTCAAAAGGAAATCCAACAGTGGCATGCACTTTCAGGGCCCCACCCCCATATATCACTTCCTTACGAGGAAAACAGACTCTGTACGGCATGGATGCTTCCTGAAGCCCTGGCTGCTTCTTCAGGCTCTTCTTCCGGTTTGCCACATACAATACACCTGCTGCGCTCACGATCTCTGCCTGCAGCGCCCTGATACCACTCTACACTGTGCCTACTTTATTTTACTGCCCACTCTTCCCT